GTAAATTAAAATTTAAGTTCACAATGTCTAAATTCTCATAGACGTGAATTTTGTATAATTTCAAATATTGTGATATTTTTGGATTATATTTAAGATTTTTTTGGTAGATATAATTGAAATTGAGATGAAATTTATTTGTTTTAACTTATAATTTAAAAAATTTATTTTTAAAAATCCAAGTTATTCAAAAATAGTAAACTTTTCATCATATAAAGTATTAAATTATCCATTACATGTCTTATTTTGTGCACATATATATTTATATAAATTATTTTTAAAAAAATTCATTGAACCGAGGTTGAACCGGTCCGACCGGTTGAACCTCGACCCTTTCACTTCACCGGTTCGATTAACGGTCCGGTTTTTAAAACATTGGTCCAATCATTATGCAAAAGATATTGTGTTGGCTGTGGTACATTGGGTACGTTTGATGCCACTATCAAATCAGAGACTTGGCACGCATGGCGCTAGAGATGGCAAATCAACCCACTTAATTAAATTTATTCATACCCGCCCATGAATAGATAGGTATGAGTATATTAAATTTTTGTATATGGGTATAAATGGGTTACCCAATAATACCAATCAAACCCAATTAATCCATTTAAAATTCTCTTCCCCCCAAGTTTCTTCTTTTCTCCCACCCATTTTTTTTCAAAATTTTCATTTTATCATGTTGTTAACTACTTTTGTTTCATTACTATTATTATTATTATTATTATTATTGTTTGTTGGTATTATCTTATTATTTTATTTTCTCTTAGTTTGTTAACTTGCTTATTTTTCAGCATTACTGATTTATGATAAATTTTAGCCTATTTTCTTATCTTTCTAAAATGAAATTTTAAATTTATATATGAAAAAAATGTTAAGGGTTCAAAATTTTTGGATTAAGTTTTTATATTAATTTTTATAGTACTTAGTTCAAATTTTTATATTCTTATTATTCAATTATTAAATAATAGGTAATTTTGTGACATAGAGTATAAATGAAAAAAATTGGTAATTAAGTTTATTGAACATTATAAATAAATATTTAAAACTAATGATGGATACAAAGAGTGGTATAAATTGATTACTTAGTTTGCAAAAATGAATTTAAATGAGTTTACAAAAAGTTAAAATAAATGGGTTATAAATGGGTAATTGGGTTACCCAATTCATTTTTTGACTTACCCATTTATATCCATCTAATTAAATGGGTATAAATGAGTTAACTCACTTATACCCATTACCCATTTTACCCAACCCAAACCCGCCCAAGTCACCCATTTTGACACCTCTACATGGCGCACGTGTGGGATGCATGGTGGCAAGATATTCAAAAAAATAATTTAAAAAAACTTTTGGGTCGTTTAGCCGCTGACTTCCTGAGTATTTCTAATCTAATTGGGTAGGGGTGGCAATTCGGGTCCAAATCAGGTTGGCGGGGTCGGGTTCGGGTCAACCCGTCAGAAAATCTGTTGACTCGAACCCGACCCGCCAACCCGTGACGGGTCAGGTATGCTAACCCGAACTCGAAAATTTCAGATTGACGGGTTGGCGGGTCGACCCGAAATGACCCGAAACTTAATTTTAATTTATTAATTTATCACTGTAATTTCTAATAAAATCAATTTCTCACAAAACTAATTACATAATCAAGTAATAAAAATTTAAATAAGTAATTCCAAACCAAATCTAAAATAAATTAAACACCGTAAAAGTGTTTTATCCCAAACAAAATATAAAATAAATTAAAACAGTATAAAAGTAAAAAATAATATAATATATTATTTGTCCAAATATAATAATTTCAACTTCACACAAATTAAATAAATTCATTTATGATTAAATAATTAATGCCTTTGAAAAAATGAATAACTTAGGTTAGTTAGATAAAATTATTTTTATATTTATTAAATTATTTTTAATTCGTAAACGGGTCATATCGGGTCATATCAGGTCACCACGGGTTGACCCGAAATCGACCTGTTTTCTTTTCGGGTTCATCGGGTCCAACCCGATTCTGACCCGAATTCCCAAAACCTCAACCCAAACCCATTAATTTCGTGTTAGGTTCGTGTCGTATTTTCAGGTCGTGTCGAAAATTGCCACCCCTATAATTGGGTGTATGAATTCTGCCTCTTGACAGAAAAAAATACAATAATAGGAAAGTAGAACGATTCAACAATAATTCTTAGGCAAAAATTTGAGTAGACCCAGTATATGAACCTCATGTATAGATAAGGTGATTCAAAATTTGCAACACCATCTCACCAATTTAAACATTAAATACACAGTGAAGATGTGAAAAAAATTTGAACCACTAGATCTATCAAACCAAGTCTATCCAAGTTTTTGCCTAATTCCTTATACACTAAGCCAATTTAGTTCTCTATCTTAAGCCACGGTGAGGCATGATTGCCGTGATATAATTGTCACCTGTTCGAAGTTAATTGAGAAAATTTTTTATTTAGTCCTCCAACCTTTTTACTTCAGTGTATTTTGTTTTCTATTTTTTATGAATTGATATTTTATTTACTAATAGTGTAGTGATTTTTTTACATTAACAATTTTTAATGTATGCTACATGTATGCATTTTTGAAGTTTATATTTAAATTTATATTATGTGACATAATTTAAATATGCTAATATAAAGAAAAAAAATTATCCAATGGTAATGTATAAAAAGTTTATCCATCTTTTGTTTGATAGTACTATTCAGTCCCTCAAATCTTTTTGGCCAATTTCGTCCTCAATGGCATTAAATTATGTTTTTGCTCACTTTCATGAGCCAACTAAGGTCAATTTAGGAATTACAAGCCCAGTCATAAAAGAGGGGAAAAGTACAAACTTTTCATCGTAGTCTTGATAGACTTGAAGTGAAACGAAAACCAGTAAAGATTTGTTGTGGATTACACGGAGAGACAGAAACCGGATGACTGGTGACACTTCTTTTAGCAAAAGACAAAGTAAGAGTCTAGTTGTCTTCCTGATAGGCCTACAAACATTACTACATGTTCTGTAAATGGCATAAAGATCCATTTGAAGTTAGGAAATCACCAATTTAGTACTCCCAACATTTTTACCTCAGCCAGTTTAGTTGTTTATCTTTTATTTGGTATAAATTAGTCCCTCAACTTTGAGTTTTTAGCATATGTCTTCCTTACACGAATTAAATTGTGGTTTTACTCAAAATCTCCTCCCAACCAAAGCAATCGAGGAATTACAAGCCAAGTCTATATCAAAGAGAAGGAAAAAATAAATAAATTTTTTGTTGTATCTTAATATCTAGTAGGAAAACACAAATTCTCCACAACCCAGCGGCTAGAGGTGTCAAATTGGATAATTTAGTCAGCTTTGGACGAGTTGAAATGGGTAATGGATATAAATGGATAAGTTAATAAAAATGAGTTGAGTAATTAAATTACTCCATTTATAATCCATTTATTTTAAATGTATTAATTGAATTTGATGGGTTACTCAATAATATCTATATATTAAATATGTATTATTAGATAACCCATTTATACTCATATGTAAGAAGTTAAGATACCAATTTCCAGTTATTTATGGGAGAATATAAGTAAATTTAATTAAATGAATTTGTTTGCCACCTATACCAACAACCATGTTGCACAATCATTTTTAACATCCTTTCTTTTTGTTTTTTTTTATCTTTCATCAATATATAATTTTCTTTATATATTTTTTTCTTTATATTGCTTGCTAATAATTTTTTTCTTTCTTTTCTCTAATATCTCTCGTCAATAATTTTACCCAAATAAATAATTTGGAGCCAACTAAGGCCCCATTTGAAACTTGAGTTTTTTGAAAGTTTGTCTAAAACTTATTGGAAAATTTTATTGGTTTATGAAAAAAAATTTTTGCCCTTTTCTTTTTTTTCTTTCCTTTTCTCTTTCTCTTTCTTTTTCTTTCTTTCCTTTTTCTTTTTTTTCCTCTCTTCTTCTTCTTCTTCCTTCCCCCTCCACCTTCCCTCTCTCGCCACCTCTGCCTACGACGTTGAAGAACCAGCAACCATGGTCCAAAATTTTTTTTTTCCTTTTTCTCTTCCCCTCTTCTCCCTCTCCCTCTCCCTCTCCCTTTCTGCCACCTCTGCCTCCGACGTTGAAGAACTAGCAGATGCGGTCTGGTACCGCGAATGGTTGCGATCTGGTAGTGCGACTAGATCACAGCTAGGGGAAGAGGGAGGGTGGCCGGGGAGGGGAGGGGGAGGAGAGGGGAGGGAAGGAGAGGAGGAGGGAGAGGAAAAAAAAGAAAAAAGAAAAAACATCACAGAGGGTCGCCCGCGTCAGGAGCCTTCTTGTTGTCTGTTCTTGGGCTACTCCCCAAGCTGCTATTTGAAAGAGAGACGAAAGTTGACTTCTGTAGCACCCCAGTAGGAGAGCATCCCATCTGAGGGCTATCATCCCAAACGTCTGTCATGAGGTTCAGAGTAGATGAGCTCTTGAAAGCTCCTGCGTTGCTAGAAGTGCTATTCAAAACCTCTCCCAACAACCCACCTAAATTTGAGGGGAAGTTTGGAACAGGTTGGCATTTTCGGAAGAGAGAGGGGGAGGGAGAAGGTAGGAGAGGGAGATATGGAGAGGGAGAAAGGAAAACAAAATTGTTCAAGTCGGCGCTTGAATAGGTGACCGGCGTCGGAAGCAGCGGTGAGAGTGGTGGCCGGTGATGAAGGTGTGATGGATCGGGGTGAAGGAGAAAGAAAAAAAAAAAAGGTGTATTAGATATTTTAAAATGTATAGATTAAAAATTTTAATAAATTTTTTAAATTTCTATAGTAAAAATTATTAAAAAATTAATAATATACAAACTTACAAAAAAAACTAAGATTCCAACAGCGTAAGTTTTGAGATAAACAAAAACTTGGATGGATAGATACGATCTACGACTCGTGCATAAATGGAGTGGTGCCCACATTATAATAATTCCAATTTCCCATCAGATCAAAGTACAGGCTTTAGATTCCTCCTCGCAGTTCCAAATCCTGCTTTACCTGCCATGCGTACCCCAATCATTACCACATCTTCATTACTTCCTCTACCTTCTCTCCCCAAAAAATTGTGACCGTTCCCTTCCTCCTCCACCACCATTCTCCTTCTTCATGATTTCCTTCCATCTTTCATTTCCTGAGATGCTTTAGGGTTTTAACTTTTTTAGGGTCTATACAAGTTTTTGTCATTGTATCTTCCTTCAGGCACTTGGTACTGCTACTACTGATTTGAAAAAGGGGGAAAGAAAAAACCATGCGGGAAAGAAAGGAAGAAGATATCCTCCTCAAACTAAGATCAATTTTCATTAGCAGTTAGCAAGAATACTACCTGTACAGTTGTACTCACTTTTTTCTTCCTCTGCGCCTGACTGTCTATATATATTATATACATACATATACTTGATCAAAAGCATTTTCATTGATTAATCAGTACAGTACGTACTACGCAGTAGTAGTAGTTTGTTTGTGGACAGTAGAATGGGATCCGTATCAGCATCATCAAAGTCTTTGACATTCAGGGTGACTAGACAAAAGCCTGAGCTGGTCCGTCCGGCGAAATCCACTCCTCGGGAATGCAAGCTCCTCTCCGACATCGACGATCAAGAGGCTCTTCGGATTCAAATCCCTTTCATCCAATTTTACCGTAACCGCGATGATCCTGGCATTAATGAGAGCAGGAGGAGATCAGACCCCGTGAAGGTGATCAGGGAGGCTATTGCAAAGGCTCTGGTGTTCTACTACCCGTTGGCAGCGCGTCTCAGAGAAGGCCCTGGAAGAAAGCTGATGGTTGAGTGCACGGGAGAGGGTGTTCTTTTCATTGAAGCCGATGCAGACGTGACGCTGGAGCAGTTTGGGGATGCAATTCAGCCTCCATTCCCATGCCTGGAGGAGCTCCTCTATGACGTTCCTCACTCTGGAGGAATCCTTCACTGTCCTATAGTGCTTATACAGGTACAACCCTACAACTGTACGACTCTTTTCTTTTTTCGGTTCGTGAGCCCCATCACTTCTTCCCTGTTTGTCATGTCACATAGATCTTGCCCAGATTCTTCCAAGTTTTTCCAAGAAGGGGTAAGTTGATAGTTGAATCACTTGGCAATACTACTTATTTTTTCTTTTAATTATAGAAAAGTACTACACTCTTTTTGGTATTGAATCCATGGTTCTAATTCACTTGTCCTTTGACACATCATTTAGTAGTTTAAACTTTTAAAATAATTTTAAGATTGATAACCTTTATTCTATATTTGACTGAGAATTTAATCTCACTAATACATTAGGTAAAAGGGACCGTAAAACTCCCCTTAATTCTATAGTGCTTCTGTTATCAATACTACAAAAGAAACAGAAGAATGTTGGTTAGGAAAAATTACACACAGACAATCAAATCTTTGGTTCCTTACAAGTAAAACCTTATTTCTCATTATTATAGCTCTTTTAACTTGTTGGATGTGCATTCACTACCTAGACTATAAAGTATAAAGCAAATTTAAAAAAAAAAAAAAAAGGAAGAAGAATATAAGAGCCCATTTGGCTTGGAAATTTGCATGTAAAAATTTTCGAAATATTCTCCTAAATTCTTTATTTTGTTCTTTTTGAGCGCCCTTTCAATCAAGGCTCCAAAAAATAAACTTCCAAGAAGGTGGGTAGGGGGATTAACATGTACTACTATTTGATGGAGCCTCAGCCCACAGGAGGACAAGCTTGTGGCATGTAGGCAAATGGACGGGACTGATTATCAGGTTTGGTTGCCTCTAGACTGTCGGCAGTGTTCAAAATAATGCCCCGCAAGTCGGCCTGGCATAAGGCATTAACCACCAGCCCCACCGTCAAGCCTTCAAGCTTCAACTCTTACCTCCCACCAATTGTGACGTTATAATGTGGATTTGGTTCAAAAAATTCAGACGGGTGCACTACGTATGCGTTTGGTCCAGTGGTGATTCAGTAACTTCCGGATTACTCCTGGACCTCCTTAAGTCCACTCCCTCCCCTAGTATAGGATAGATTAAAATATACTATAGTTATCGTCTCCGAAAAAAAAAAAATCGGTCTGACCTTGTTCACCACCCAATCATTCAGTCAGTTGGCACTGCTATATTTTGTTCTTACACTTCCAATCAATTACTGAGCACCAGTAGGAATTATGTAAAATGTCTCCACAATTATTGTATGAAAAATGTTACTATCATGATTCAGACTAACAATTTAGATGAAACTTATAGGTAATTCTGTCAGAGAATTCTTAGGAGCTGATCTAATAGGGGTTTCTACCCCCCGTTTGATTTCTTGCTAAGGTGCTCTAGCCTTCCCTACGTACCCAAAAAAAACAAACTTTAAGGTAGAATATAAATTCTTAATTATTATGAGTAGTACTACCTCCGTCCAATATATATAGTCATGTTTGAAGATATATACTTTTTATGCATGGTATACTCCATAAAAAATATTTTGCTTTTGTTCTACTTTTAGGTTTAATCATGTGCTAGTCAAAATAAAAATCAATCATATCATATTTGTCTTTATGCATCATTATAAAATAGTTAAAAATATCATACATGACAAACATTTAGCCAAAAAAAAGTACAATACTTTTAATAGGACGGAGGAAGTAATTAAAAGTCATGTTTGTAGTTAATAGTGTACTATTTTCATATTAGAGTCTTGTTTGCTGTCAAATTCAAGATTCAAATCCAGTACTAGCCGTTAGGACTTAGGAGTGAAAAGAGTGTGGATATAGATAAGAAGATTAAATAAATAAATAAATAAATAAAAATAAAAACTAATTAACTAGTTAAACTATAATATTCACCCATCATATGTATATAATGGACCATTATTAATGGTAATGGTATTATGATACAACGTAACACAGGTAACTCGTTTAAGATGCGGCGGTTTCATCTTCGCACTACGCATGAATCACACCATTGCTGATGGTGTTGGAATCGCTCAATTCATGAATGCTGTGGGAGAAATCGCACGGGGAGCGTCCGCCCCATCTATACAGCCAGTATGGCAGAGGGAGCTCCTGTATGCTAGAGACCCGCCAAGGGTGACGTGCAGCCACCACGAATACGACGAGGTAGTCGTCGATACCAAGGGAACCATCGTTCCCCTGGACGACATGGTCCATCGCTCTTTCTTCTTTGGTCCGGCAGAGATCTCAGCGCTGAGAAAATCCATCCCTCTTGACCTCAGTCACAGGTGTTCGACGTTTGATATTCTGACAGCCTTCCTTTGGCGCTGCCAAACCATCGCCCTCCAATACGATCCCAACGAGGAAGTCCGCGTGATCTGCATTGTTAATGCCCGCTTCAAGTTCAATCCTCCCTTGCCCCAAGGATACTACGGCAATGCCATAGCATATCCAACAGCGCTGACGACTGCCGGAGAGCTATGTGAGAAGCCTGTGGGATATGCGGTGGAGTTGGTGACCAAGGCCAAAAGTGTTGTGACTGAAGATTACATGAAATCTGTGGCTGATTTAATGGTTATCAAAGGGAGGCCTCGTGTCACTCTGGTGAGGACTTATCTTGCGTCGGATGTTACCCGGGCTGGGTTCAATGAGGTGGACTTTGGTTGGGGGAAGCCGGTGTATGGGGGGCCGGCCCAAGGTACTGTGGCCTGCTTTCACATACCCTTCAAGAACAAGAAGGGGGAGACAGGAAGAGTAGTTCCTATTTTTCTACCAGGTCTTGCAATGGACAGATTTGTGAACGAGCTGGAAAACTTCTTTTTGAGCCACAATGTGAGGCCCCATTTCCGCCGTGCCACATCGAGACTTTGAGGAATGAAATAATCAGTTTCAAGGGTAAATTACGTGTAATGTGACCTCCTTGTAGTTTTATCAACTATTATCACATGATCCCCTAAAGTTTTAAAATATCCACTTCACCCCTTTATACTTTTATGTAAAGTGAAGGCTTGTGGAAAATAGCTATGTAATGTTATTAGTTGAAATATCAATAGCGTCGTTACTTAAAGCTATTGATTACTGCTGCTGCTGCTGCTGCCTAGTTTAATGTAGTATTATATAAAATAATTTTGCTTATCTTCACTGCTTTGTGCATACTTGCTCGTGCATAATTTGTGCTAATATTATTGGTTTTGATGATACAAATTTCCTGCGGCCTTTTTCTCACAGAATTTGTAAAAGCCTCCAATTTTTTCCAGTTCCAAGTAAACCAAATGTAAATTTTCTCCATTTTTCTTTATGAGCATGCCAATACATTTTTTTTGATGATTGGTCCATGGTTGTTTGTGAAGCAATGCTAAACTTTTTGTCATTTCTATGGGGGTGATACATCTTCTTGCAATGATGATTGCCGTCACTGAAACACACCAAGGAAAGCAATTAAGGAACAAGAAAGAATGGCAATGGCTTCTGCCAACTCCGACAGGGGAGGATAGCTTTTGTGGAAGTTGCAGAAAGCCACCAACAAAGCCACTAAGACCTCGAGCAAGATCAAGGGAAGAGCCATCTTTTATTTTAGTACATGATATAGGTTATCTATACCCTCGTGCAAAGCACGAGCAGTACTTCAGTTTGTAACAGAAAATTCAACACAGTATCAAGGAAAGAGCCAATCTTTTAGTTCGTATCAACACATTCTGTCTCAGTGACAGAGAAGCAGAGGAAGTCCCATTGATACTGTTTGGATGATCAGCTCGCAGGATTCACTCATATGCATGAGATATATTCATGTCAGATACTAACAAGAACAGAGCAGAGGAAGATACGAATAACATATATGTTGTGTATAATTTTGATGTATAACTGTATTATATTGCTGTGTCGAAATACATGAAATATTAAATTAATATATATATATATATATATATATATATATCAACTTTTCTTAAAACATAATAATATAATGTGATTGTATACTAAGGGCTAAAAAATGTTACAAGCACAATAATCGCACTGAACTAATTAAAACAAAACCATACTAACCCTGTCCAAGAAGAACCACATTTCATTACCAGTGCTGAAATTAGGCTTCACTTCTATTAGAAAGCAAACTGATTCTGCTAGCAGAAATGGCCAGACTTTGATAACAACAATTGGCAATCACATTGAGCTAATTCGAAGAAAGTTGCAAAACAGAGACAGACTTAAGTTAAACAGTGGAACCCAAATAAGCAAATCAATCAAAGACATTGAAAAATAAGGTAACAGCAATTAGCTATTGAAACTGATTAATCAACCAGCTGAAGCAAATGTTTATTGACATTAAGTGCCAATCACCCTCCCAAAGTAAAAGTTGTACACATATGTAGATGAAAAGGTTGCAGCATCACTAAACACTCGTATCAGTAGCTCTATATATGATGGAAACAATCACAAATGAAATGTCTTTCATGAATCAAGACCAATTCAAATGAGCAAAACCATCAGAAAACCAAGAACCAAAAACACGAGTATCGAACGGTGTTAAGAAAAGACTTGGGAGAAAAAGCAAATTTTCGAACTCAGGCACTTGTACACACATCTATCTTTTAAGTCTCTGTCACATACGTGTTTTCTATATTAGGTATGTACAGCTGATTAGGATTAGAAGCTAATATTTGAAAAAGGAATTCAATACTCTTTCTAGAACCAAAAAGAAAAAGCAAAATTTTCACTGAACTATGGTCCTAGTACTAGTCCATTTTTATCTTGGTATGTCTCATTCGTACTTGTTTATGTATAATTGATTCATTGATGCTAAAATCAAAAGCTTTTTATGCATGAAGGGGTCACAATCCAAAAGGAGTAATTAATCTGGTATTCGAGATGTTCATCCACGTGGATTGCTTTTTTCGTGCTCAAACCCTCAAGTTTCAAGTGGGCTTTAACCTTATTAATTTTCCCCTTTAATTAATCAATAAGCACAAATCAACAAAAATTCCAAACAAACATGCGAGAGAGGGTGTTGCTCTAATTCAAAGAATGCAAATTCCAACTGTTGTAAGATGCAATTTGCATATAGCTCACCTGATAGCATTTTCTTTGTATCCCATATCAGTGCCTCGAGAACAATACACAGGAAAATTGTTGTGAAAAGGTCATGATCAACTATAAGAAGAATCGTGCATGGTTTGTGCTAATATTGGTGTTAAAACTTGATACAAAGTTTCCAAAGCTTTTTTCTTGCAAAAGTTTCGAGTCTCTTCCAACTTTTTCCAATTCCGGGTAAACCAAAAATAATGAATTTTTGTGATTATTGGTGCACCATGCATTTTAATTTGCCAAAGAGTGCTGAAATTTCTCATAGTTTGTAGAGGCGATGCACCTTTTTCGCAATGAAAATTACAGCTATTGGAACACCAAGGCAGATCAAGAACAAGAAAGAATGGCAACGCCTGATATGGATGTCAACATAGAGCAGAAACCCTAGCCAAATTGCTAAAAAAAAAAAAAAGCCAGCAAAGAACCTCCAAACTGAAGCAACATTACATATTTACACGTAAAGCATCCTTGTCGTCAGTACCTATGAATGGTGATCTAAAAGCATTGTGCAAAGGGAGCATTAGTTAGTTTGTATCATGGATGTCAATCAGGAACAATTTTCTCCAAAGTTAACAATAGATTGAGTCCAATAAATTGTGCAAGGGGATAAAAAAGTTTGGACGAAAATTTAGTTTGTAGTTAAACATATGTTTGAAAAAAATACCACTATTGCTATGAAAACTTAAAAATGAATTGCTATAAAAGCTTATATAGGAATTTCCCCCTAACTTCATACTTGGACTTTATTTGCACCCCCAAACTCTAATTTGTAGACACATTATTATTTCTAATTTGGTTATAGCTTTAATATAGGTGTTATTAAGCTAAAGTAGAAGGCAACAAACTTGTTCATATATAGTGCGTGGTTTTTACAATCCTATTAAAGGTATTTATAAACTAAATGTAGTTATGATTTACAATTTGTGGAGGACATATACATTGCACCAATTAATTGATGTAATATATGAGTTGATTGCTAGAATTCTCTATTTTGCACTATTCAAACATTCATGCTAGCTTGACATAGATAGAGGAAATTAAACTTAGAGAAGAGCAAGAACGATTGTTACTACATACATTTCTAAACAGTATAGCGGAACACCTCTTGTGCGTATTGTAATACATGAAAAGTTGCTTGTACAACTTTGCAATTGAAAAAATTTATATTTAGTAAACATTCATGTAAGTTGCATAATAGTTATGTGGCGTTCTACAAATAGCAAATTGTGCAAAGTTTGGACCACGAACAGCCCTAGACCGTCCAAGCCCTCAGTCCAGGAAAACCACCCTCTACGTTAACCAATTTTGTGGTCAAGAACAAGCTTTAATAAAGTGTATATGACAAAGAGAACTTTAACGTCTATGAAATCAAATGCTACTGTCTATTTTCAGAAGGATATGGTTCACTCATATAGATGGACAATTTTAATCTACTACTTGTTTTTAAGGCTAGCAATAGTAAATATCCTTATACTATATAAGAATGGGTTGTGGTCAAAAGGGACTTTGAATTTCAACCGTATGGATAAGAATTTTTTTGAAAATATAAAATGTTATGTTATTTTTTTAAAACTTTTGATATAATTGAGAACAACATGTGGTTGAGCATGTTTACCGAAATGTCTTGATTTTGATACATTTAAAACTTTGATTTATGAAGAACTTTGGAACCTTTGAAATCTCAACTTAATTGTTTATGGACTTGCGTATTAATAGTGTGTGCTTTTCCCATTAGTTCTTTATTATTAGGCATGTCATGCTGGTCGGAAAATTATTGGTTTATATAGGGTCCAATTTTATAAAACTCGAATCCAAACTCAAGCCATTACCATGGGAGTTGCTGAAGAAAACTTTTTCCTCCATGCAATAGAATCAATCATGAGCCCTCCTGCTAATTATGGACAAAATTTAGGCTAGTGAAATACCACAGGAGGTCGACCAAAAAGACCTAGTACCTTAAATAAAATTTACCCAAGTTTGTCCAAAATATATTTATTGTAAGATTGATGCTCTTTGACAAAATTGTGGCCTCTTAATAGATGCTTGGGCTTTTTCCCCCTCCTACAGGGATCTAAAAACATACAATGAAAATGGGGGAGGACACTAGTGCCTTCTTTAATGAAAGAGAACCTAAAGTCTTGGGCTCTATTCAGATACCATAACCGGTAAAAACGAGGGGGTGAAGGTCCAAAAACAGGAAAAAAGACGAATATGGTTTTGTCCAACCACAATTGCGATAAGTCAAAGATCTTTTAAGTTTCATGTCTTAATTTTCTACACTTCTATCGTCAGATGCTTAGTAGGGTTTACGTTCTTAAATTGCTTCTGAATTTTTTGTTTCCATTAAAATCATAGAATTCGTGTCGATTCAATTTTATGAATAACCTTGTTAATAGAATCAAAAATCTTGAACTTTTTTTTTGGTGGTAATGAGGGCAGATGGTCAATTTGACAGAAAATTCGATGATTGGACAAAATCCAATCATCAAAATTCTTGTTTTCTCATCTTATCATGTTCTCATTTGCCTTCCCCATTTCCACACCTTCATAAACAGGTTGCGGGGAAAAAAAATTGCATAAACAAAGAGGCACAAGCTCCTTTTATAGAAGCTAATTAACCATAACAAATCCATACATAAGCCTCTGAAACAGTGCCAGTTGATAATATTACAATACATACCATACCATACAGGAATATCTTTAAATTTGGGAGAGTTGCTTAATATTCATGGGGTAGACTTCGGCTCTGGAGTTGGAATAATATGCCTTATTTGCGATAATAGCATTTACAGTTTCAGTAGGATGCAGCCCATCAAAGAAAACGTTACTTCTCCTATTTGAACAAATTGATCCACCTCTCTTGCAAAGAGTTCCAGTCCCACCTTCTTCTATCGATGGCACTTTGCAACAAGCATTTTTGGCATCTTCGAAACCTGCAGCGTCTCCACAAATTTGATGCTTGCAATTTTGTAGATGGTTGGAAAAATTAATTTCATGCATATATGAACAAGTACTCCATATTGTATTAATTGGTCCAAAGGAAGAAAGGGAGAAAAAAACCACACAGACACACCCTTGAGGATTTTGAGCCAACATAGCAAGCTAAGTTAAGAATTAATTAGTTGGAGGCTACCAAATTAAACAAAAGGACTCAATGTTCATGATGAAGTAGACATTGGAAAAGGTTTCTCTAGCTACCAAAGGTACCATAAATGTTAGGACAAATATCTATTTACTCCCCTATGATTTCACGTATAACCAACACAACACCGTTAACGTTTTAAAATAAGCACATAGCCTCCATGATTTTATGTAAAACGAAAACTAGATAAAAAGCAACTCTTTTACGGTGAATCGGCTCTAGAAACACACGTGTTAAAATGATAATATTTACTTAAATTCTCTATTGTTTTATACTTATGATTTTATGTAAGGTGGTTAGTTCCCATTCTATTAAGTAGGGTCAAAGCTATAATTTTAATTGACAATGTTGTAGAGGTTTGATTCTTTCAAATATCTACTTTACATAAAATTATAGAGAGTTATTTGAATATTCTTAAACATTAAAAAGTTCAAGACAAAACCACGATGGCATGCTATGGAGATACACATACCTGTTACATGTATCAAAAACAATGAGGGGCTTGCGATGGATAATTGATATAGCATATGTGTTTTGAACAAAATTCCATGCATATGTTGCACAGTTTAATTTCGTACAGTGCAAGAGTACAGAGACACGGAGAAAAAGTTATCACTGAATAGTGTA